CGGCCACACATCTTGCGGTGGCATTTCCGCCGCGCTCGCGAATAAGCGGCTAGGCATCCTGGATACCTGGCTCATGCCCCTCCGCCACCTTCGCGAGCAGAACATAGGGCTCCTCAATAGTCTGAGTTCCCAAGAGGCAGCGCAGAAGCTGGCGGAGATCAATGTGCGCCAGGGCCTGCGCACGCTGAAGGAAAATAGTGTCGTCCTGGATGCGATTGAGGAGCGCGGGCTGGAGCTTCATGGGGTTTTGTATGATGTTGCGAATGGGATTTTAAGGGAGTTGGATACAGACGAGCCGAAAGATGTTATCCATGCGCGGATTCACTCCTTCAAGACATTTAAGACTGAGGCTGTGCGTTAGGGGGGAAACTGTTCAGCGAAGGCTGGGAGGCTTTGGTTTGACTTTGAGGTTTTTTAATCTGTTTTCTTTTCATCTGCGGGCCCCCTTTTTACCCCTTGGGTTGGAATTTTTCATATTTGGTGTTGATAGGAATGGTTTCGGCTTTGGGATTTTTCTACTATTTCTTTTCAATTTCTTTTTCAAATTTTTTTTTTTATGATGCTGGCTTAAATCTCGAAAAACAAAACAAACTCCAACCAGTTATTTCTATAAGAGAAGCTTGATCATGATTATAGTTGAATATAATGTAATTCACATAAACATCTTTTCATTCTATCAAATCAAGTTTCAAATATTTGGTAAAGAAATGTTTTAATCTTGATTTAAATTATTCTGATCATTTCTCACTCATCTGTGATAAACTCTCATACTACTGGCGCACTCTCACCATCATCTCCTACTCTTGATCAGTGACTGACTGAGTGTATAGAGCTTTGATGACATGTGTATCTGTGTTTTTTTTTGGGGGGGGGGGGGGGGGGATTATAGCAAGCGGGAATGAGCTGTATATGCACAAAGGGGTCGTGGGGACAAAAAATGTCATACGTCAATTTGATCAAAATAATTTATTTCCCCCCCCCCAAATTCGCTACGATGCCGTATAATAAGTGGACTTTCCAAGTTCCAATGATCAGTCCAATATAATAGCATGTAGCGTGAGAAGGAGGGAAATAAAATAAAATAAAAGCACGTATAGAAAGAGAATGGACGAGGTATTAGCAAAGCTCAAAGCTCAACATGCGCTGATGGAACGTAGCGTTGTTGTTGATGTTGCTCTGCTACAAGATAAAACTGGAGAGCTTTCAGATAGGCAGTAAGTACCAACTCGAACGCTGAGAAAAAAATGAAAAACGAACGCTGGTGGTATGTATGTGTGTACACATACATGCATACATGGCTTTGATAATCTATTAAGAGCATTGGGTTGTATATACGTGGCGATTTGTTGTGACCTCGCTATGAAAAACGGGCCGCTGCTTAGCACTCAATATTGGTCTGTAGCTGCCGTTGGTAGATCAAGATCAAGTCTACCATAAATGTATTTTCGGTTTGTTAAAAAAAAGTTGGCCTCCCTTTTCCCATCAACTGGCAAAAATAAGCAATTTTTTAAGAATGATTGTAAACGTAACCCCCGCGCGTGGTACATGCACACGACACGTACACAGCGGAACGGGTAAGAGGCCTACAAACTTCCTCAGGGTCAGCTTTTTGACATGGTTCCTCGCTCCCTCTTTCCATGCGAAGCTAGCCTGACGGGGACACGAAGTCCAGTGATTTATCAAGAAGTCCACAGAGAACGCGACCGCAATCTGCTTCTAATTCCTGACCATCTCTGGCATAGGTGACGTCGTGGTTTTCATTGTAAGGGTTTTTAAGATGTCCAACATATTTGAACATTGTTTCCACGGTATTGTACCAGGTGATTCTGAACGGTGGACCGAGCGGCAAGCCAGGTCTTTTGAACCAACTCGGGGTCGTAACGCCTGGATCCCCGGGACGAGTGTCCATCCGTGCCTGTAAGCAAGGGTTAGTTGAGGATTTTACGTTAAAGAGGGTCCGAGAAGGCTTCATTTTCATACATAACCCTGGAATGCCCCGCTCTGGTTCACAGAAAAGACAAGCACCACATGACGAGAATTATCGAAAGCTTCAGCAAATTTCTCCACGTTTTTTAGTTGTGTTGCCCAAGTTCCCTAGCCAGAGTTTGTCAGAGGTTCATCTTTTTACTCATAAGTCAAGTAGCTTCGGATAAAAAGAGGTAGGGATAATGACGCATACTTCAATTTTGGCTGTATTGACCATATCATATGCAACGCACTTGATCAAGAAGTAACTGACGTCTGAGTCGACACGTTAATAAATCAACCATTGGCCAAGAAGGGCTTCATATTGTTTAGGGAACACACCTCCTACCACTAGGCCCAACTCTTCAGACCCTTTCACTCCACTATATGAATAAACTCCACGAGTCGAACCTGCACTGAACCCCCCGCGACCGCGTCCGCGGCCACGAGCCAATCCACGACCACGACCACGGCCACGGCCACGGCCTCGCCAAAAGGCAGATTCGCCCCGGCCTTCATGTGAATCCACCTGGTCCTCATCTGGTTGCTGTTGAGAATTTTGAATGAAAGGATCAGTGTTTTTGCCCCAATTACCAGAGGCCTGATCAGTGAACTTCTTATCTTCTCCAAGCACGGAGTTATCACCATTAGGGGATTTATGGTCTTTGATCATGTTCATGCGGTCTTTATTCATGAAGATTGGGACTGCTTCTGGATATTTTGTCAGTTTTTGTCTCAAGTGCACAATCCCTTCATTCGTGATTTTCTTGCTGGCGACCAACCTTCTTCGCTATGTAACACACCCTTTGGGTTGCCGTTGTATTGAGTCCGCACCATTTTCTCCACTCTTTCATGCGGCTGAGCACCACTTTCAAAATCAGAGAACTGCCTTTTTGAGAGTTTGCCAGAGGAGGCATGGTTGGATATATGCTCATCAGACACTCCTGAGTTTAATTCTCTTTCGGTATCGTCAGGTTTTGGTGTGATAGACTTGGTGTTGATCCTGGGAATGAACCGAGGAGGAGGCATGGAAGGAGATGCCTGCGGATCATGGCCTAACGAATCAAAGGAATGACTGCGAGCAATTGAATAAGAACCCCGGTCGCTGCTTTTGGCCAAAGCGTCACGTTCCTGTAGCTCTTCTCTCATAAGCTCCTCCTTCTCACGCTCCAAAGCAGTTAGTCGCTTGAAGCGATGTAGCTTTCCACGACGATAATTTTCATCATAGTAACCAGTGTACTCAAGCCATTCGCGGAGCTCTTCAACTTCATTGGATTGTAACTTGGAGAACTCATTATTAGCTTCCCAGCTAGCTAGCATTTCAGAAGGCGGATGTCTATCCGGGTTGCAGTCAGACGTGGGAGGTGAGCCATTGCTTCGGTAAACAGAACGAGTCGGGAGTTGCCTTGGTGGTCCATATACACGTGACTTTGGATTAGGGCTGTCTGCCATAGGCCTGGGTGGTTCATACACACGTCGCTCTGGATATGATTTGTGCTCAGATCGCGAATATTGCCCTGACATGGACTTCAAATCCTTATGGGGAGTAACATCGATGTTGTCCGCAACACTTGATCCCGCTGTTTCGCTTACGGCAGGAGTGTAGCTGACCTTCTGGCCATCAAATCCCAGTTTGGGGCTTGGTTCATGTGTACTTTGATGTCTGTGAGCGTTGGAATTTGTTGCTGGAGAACTGTTTTCGTCTGAAAGAATAGAAGCCCGTTGGAGAGTACTAGCATATTCACCACTAAGGTGGCCCTTAGCAGTTGATTTGGAAGCATTCGCTGCTGCTGACACTCTACCCTCGGCGAGCAAACCATCAATATCCTCGGCTGAAGCTACCTGGCCGGGATGAGACTTTTGGTGTTCAACTGCACCCATCCTCCCAGCGTAGCTTTCACCTTTACCTTGACTCTCAACACTTTGATCAACCGCGGATCTCTTTGCGCGTTGCGGTTGATTAGAGGCAGAATTTGAGCCTTGAGCCATAGAAGCCTGAGTCCCCGAGCTCCCTCGTGCAACGTCTGGTTTTCCAGGATTCTCCCCACGACTTGCAGCTCGCTTCTGGGATATTGATGCCAATGCTTCTGCACGCTTTTTTTGTAAAAGCTCTAGTTCACTAGAGAGTTCATCTGACCTTGCTTGATTCTCATTATTTGCAGGGACATCTTGTTGACCATCATAAGTGAGATATGAATGAGGCTGAGACGTGTCGTTACGGCAACCTCCCCCTGCTCCTCCACCCACTTCTCCTCCACCGGGTGTGTATGGTGTTGCACCCTGCCATGGTTGACTGAACTGGGAATTTGATTGAAACAAATGGCCTGGCCCGACTAGAGAGTTACTGAGTTCAGATATCCTCTCATCCAACTGTGCACCGAAATTAGGATACTTGTTGTTTGTATCATTGTTTGCCATTTTGAAGGATAGATGCAAGCAGTGATATGAGATTTTGGCTTGCGCTTTGAGCTTTGGGCTTGGTTGGGCAAGGGAAACAAAACTGATAAACGGGAAATGAGTCGATAGTGGGAAAAGAAAAAGAAAAACCAAACAAGTGAGGCAAACGAACGTAGATAGATGAGATGATAAATTTACAAGGAAAGGAGAGAAATCCCACAGAGCTAATACAAGGAGTGAGGGAATCTGCAGAGTTGTCGTTTGATGCGATATGCCGAGTTTGGGCAAAACCACCACGCGCCAAGAGCCGCATCTTGTCAGCCCCATCACGTGTGATTCTTTAGGATAGTTACAAGCTTGTGAAAACATTACGATCTGCGCACTACAATCATTTAGGCACGTTCCAATGTACGGATCATTTGCGGTTAGATATGGATAGAAAAGTTTAGAATTTAAAATATATGACGATAAAATACTAAAACAACGGATATGAGATCCCCTACGCTAATGTCATTGATCCCTCCCAAATAGAAAAAAAGAAGGGAAAAAAAAGACCGCTCGACAAGCCATGATGAGTTTACGGAAAATACATTGAAATACAGAATACAAAATAGGGACAGAAAATTCGCCTTGGAAACTCAAGTCGCCGCCGGTCCCTTCATACCAAGCAAATTGCTTAATCTACGCCACCGCTTGCCTTTTGACTGCTGCTCCGGTTTACCCTGCCCGATGTAAACAGTGGCTGCACTCGACAAAGCATCGTTCTGGCTATCTTCCCCATAGGAGTACCGAGGAGGCGGAAGGCTATTTTCTGGGCTTAGATATTGTCCACGGTCACCTCTGGATCTGCGCCTGGACCCCCGCCTCTTTTGCGTTTGCTTGGCAATTGTCAAGCTTTCGGCATGCAAGGGGCTTTGCGTATCATGGCTGGGGACATCTTTCACGTCATCGACTAGTCTATTTTCCTTCCTCTGAGGTACTGTTCGTCGGGGAGAGGCGGATTTCTTTGAATTTTCGTTTAATGTCTTTGCGCGGTGGATCAGACCTGGGCCTCCCAGTAGTAGTCGGCCCCCGGTGAACGGGAAGCTTTTACTCCTCGTGCTGTCATCTACTGTACCTACTTTCTCTGTATCGTTTCTCGAATTTTGTGCTAATTGTGACCGTTGTTGTTGTTGTTGTTGCTGCTGCTGTTGTTGTGAAGAGGAAGAAATAGAAGTTCTAGGACCGGCAGTCGTCGGTGTTGTAGGGAGTACGTCTGCGTAAAGGGGAGTCTGAGGCCACCCTTCTCGGAATGCAACCCAAACTCCACTGACGACAATGAGCGTACGGAGGTGATCATCGGTTTCAATTAAAGGCGGATCACTATAATCGTTGGTCTGCGGTGGAGTGGTTGCGGCGGCTAAGTGTGGGCCTTTGGGAGAGGCTGGGGACGATGACCTTTGAGTTTGAGCGGAAAAGAGAGGGTATTTATCAAGAATATCAATTCCCTGGCGGGACATCCACGCTAAAACTGGGTGTCGACGGGTGTTGGGGTCGATTATACTGAATGTAAACCGCTTGCCATCGTCGAAAGTGTTGTCCGCACCATTGCTGGATCCAGAAACCCGACGACTTCCCGCCTTTCCCCGTAATACCCAACGGGCACATCTTTGCTCTCCACTCTCCGTAGTCCCTGTAAACTCATAACCGCCAGAGGGAAGATGGGAAACCTCCCAACGGCTCCCCTGCTGTAGAGATATTTCTGCCATCGCGCCCGCTTTCCCACTGTCTTTGCGATGGTGACATACTGTCGCAACCACGTCTCTGTCATTCTGCGGATCGTCATCGGAGGAAACACTCCTATCATCCTCAGCACCAGCCTGCTCATAAGCGTCGCTGGTTACGAGTAGGAGGTCGTTCGCAGACGGGCTGTCCTTTCCCCTATATCTGCATGGGAATTTTCTAGGTCCGGAACAAATGGTAGATGATAGAACATCAATAGTAGGTATAGGTCGGGATATGTGCGATACTCTGTGCAGCTGAAGTAGCAATTTGGGCCGGAGTCCTAGACGTTTGCGACGGGTGCTAGGTGGTGGATGCGCGAAGCTAAAGGACGACTTTGTCCGGTGCTGCAGCTGCTTTTTCGTATCTATAGCTGAAGCCTCCCGCGCTCGACTATGCAGACCAATGTTAGTGGGATCTGCTGGAACATAGTCTTCATCAATCGATAAACGAGGTGTTGTAAGCGGCGACGTAGTGGTCGATGTTTGGATCATCACTGGCTGCGGAACTCCAGAATTCCAGCGGTTCTTGGTAGACGACACAAAGCCCAACGGAAAAATCACAGCAGCAGATCGCGAAAGAAGAGAGGCGGTCGGTGGAGAGTTCTCCTGGTTCGAAAACTCGTGCGTCTGGGCCGCCGTCGCGTCTGCTGTCGAGTCTAGATTGACAAACATGACTCAAAATGAAATAAGGGAGCAATGATGACCCCTACCAGGGGGCCATCGAACTGGCTGATTTAATTTTCCAAGCAAGTTTGACGGTAGCAAATTTCTTTGAAGCCCCGGATATTTCAGGATCCCGTGTGGAACGGGAGGGCTTGCTGGACGGCCACGATGTTTCCCGAGGTTTCACGGGGCTGGTATATATCCTCCACCTGACAATCAATGATACACAGGAAAAGTGCTGTGGTAGTTGGATGCGAAAAATTACCCAGCAACAAATCCAACAACAAATGTGGGAGAAATTGACAGTAGCTCAATCCTGAATCCTCTAACAAACGAGGATCGCTTTTAAGACCAGGAGACCCTTCGAGTTGTCAGCCCTGGCCACTGGGCGGTGGTTAGCCGTATATCAGCCTCTTCCTTCTCAGGCCTTTCTTGCAAAACTCTACTCCGTAGAGTGCTTTTGAACACGCAGGTATAGGCCTATGCTCTGTAACGTTGGCTACGCTCGGATCAGTGCGAAGGTAGCTAATTGTTCTTGTGTAAGGCGGGACAAGCTGTGGGTGCCCCGCGCCGCCATACGAGCAAAAAAAGTACCTTATGGGCTTCGTGGGGGATTAATATTAACTTCGAAGGAGCTCTTATCTAGTCTTTAGAGCTTGCAGGCGGAGAATTTGGAACACTGATCTAGTTGAGAAAAGGAGATCCTTTTTTGCTAATAATAATAAAACATGACAAGAGAAAGAAGTTAAGACGGGAAATCAAGGAATATGGGAATATTGTCAACCTACTTACACACAGTTTTAATTATAACCTAAACAAGCGGTGATATATATAATAATCCTGCCCACTGCCCAGCCTCCGCCATGAGACCAAAAAAAAGGCAGGCGGCGGAATATTAGAGAGAGACAAGGCTTTTAGGTCGAGGGCGGAGTCTAAACTAGCCGAGTACGATGGATGATCGGAGGATGAACTTCGATGGCGAGCCGACACCGAATACGGCGCGGCGAACGGGGATGACAACTGGACAAGCTCTCATATTATTAGTTACAGGCTGTATTCTTTCTAATAACAGTCGCCGCCCGTTTGCCTGACAGCCTTAACGCCTTTTGCCATCCGCCGCCCTCCACAAAACCACGACTTAATTCGAATCCAGTGGCATCTGGGGCATGCTGGAATTTGAAGATATTTTCCAGGATTTCTAGCAAGATTCCGGCAGCCCGGGTGTCACTATTATTGGCGAATATGAGGGATGCCAGCTACTTGCCCAGTGCAATTCTCTTTTTTTTTCAAAAGTAACTACGGCTTACTGAGGAATGAATCTGCCTTCAGCACAAATTTATGAGTTGTCACCGACATCATGCATAATTTGGCTGTCAGCCATGCGCCAGTGGATCCGTCCGGACCAGGGATCAGAGGCAAGCCGACACTTCCAAGGTTGGTAAGCCCTTGCTGTGATTCAGCCATTATTTCATCACTCATGCGCCTCAAGCAAGATTTTGCAAGGCTAGCGTCTTGTCTGTGACAAACACGGCTGCCTCCGGGAAGGATGGAAACGAGTTGTTCCCTTGAAAAAATATATATATAGCAAATGGGAAACCAGAGAGAGTAGTGAGAGGAGCGCTTGGAAACAGTATAAAATAAGAAAAATTTAGTAGAAAAAGAAGAAAAAGAACGAAAAAATATCGACGCGAGCAGGATTCGAACCTACGCCCCCGAAGGGAAGAGATAAGGATAGTTAAAGACATTCGTCGTCAGTTCTAGTCTCTCGCGTTAACCACTCCGCCATCGCGCCCATTTCTGATGGGGTGTTCGACGCTTGAGGATTCTACATGGCCCAGATGATCATGTTCAACGAATAACTGCATCCTTCCTCACAGGCGTGGCCCATGTAGAGCATGCATTATTTATTCCCCATGCTGCTGTGGAATAACTATAATCTACTTCTGCTCTCTGTGCCTATCTAATTTATTCATATGACTGGTCTCACTGCCTACATCAATAATCAATGCGTGGAGTGCTTACTCCGGAGAATTCTATATTGTGATGCCCGTGGCAGGGGAGAAAGTCGTGCTCACAGTACGTGAGAGGAATAAAAGTTTCGTGAGTGTACATATTATCTTGGAGAGTAACGTTATTGTGTGTAATCTATCTAAGGTGAGACTAGACTGACTGTGTGACCGTGTCTGAGACCAGGATCAAACTTTACAGTTATCATGTTGCCTAAAAGCATTACTTCTGATCATGATTTATATTTATTATATTAATTCTAAATAGACTGGCCGGCGGGATCATGAATTTCACATTTAGTCTCATTTGATCTGATTCTATACATTTCTTGACATGAGTCTCATCAGAATCAAGCCTTAAAAAAATCTGAAAATGAATCATTTCTGAGAGAAATGATATGAAAAATGACTAGATTTAATTCAAGAACAGTGAAATAAGAGTAATTTCTCAGAATAAACTGTGAAAGATAATCATTCTTTCAAAATCAGAATAAGACTGAGACTGAAAATTAAAATCAGTCTCATTCAATTTATTCAGTGATTGCTTATATAATCAGAATTTGATAATGATTATTAATAACACTTATGAAATAACTAAATACATTCTTATACAAGTTTATTCTTCTCATGAAAACTACACTTTTCTGATATACTATGATTAGAGATATTAAACTATCTGATAATTTCATGTTTTATAATCATAAGTTTCTTGATTATTTCTTCTTATAATTGTCTCTGATAATAGTAATAAATATCTTAACTTAAGTTAAACTTTCACTTCATTCTCATCTCTATTTAGACTGATTGTGTAACTGTGTCTGAGATCAGAATCAGATTTTTTAATAGTCTCATTATTAATTTAACTGATTTCATTACACAGTTTTAACATTAGATAGTAGTCTCATACTGTCTCAGTGAAACTTACTGTCTACTCTTATCACATTTTTCAAATGAGACCATGATTTCCACTTCTTAATTCAAATTATTTTTATTGCTTTAAATGACTTTAAATCTCATTTGAGTATTACCAAAAAGTGTTACTTTTTAAAAAATTAAAAATAGTCTAAAAAAAACCTTAAAATGTCTAAAAATAGTAACTTTATGCTAAGAATGAGACTAAATGAGATTAAATAAGACTACTTTCTCATTTTTTTCAAGTCATGGTCTCATTTTAAAATCTGATATATAGTCACTTTGCATGTTTTTTTGATAGCCAGTCTCAGTGAGATTCACGCCAAGAAATGTATGAGATCAGATCAAATGAGATCAAACGTGAAATTCATGATTCTGACAGCCAGTCTATCTCTGTTAATGAAATTATTAGAATATTATATATTATCAGTATAATAGTTGAATATATACTCTTAATAATTTTTTATAACTCTAAAATTGATTTAATATATAAATTCATTAAATTATCTTAAAGATAGCAGTTAAATTCAGTTTTATAAGTATATAGTTTTATCTGATTTTCAGTTATAATTAATATATATAAGTTCTATTTCAAAGTTAGTATTATAGTTCTATAAGATATAAAGTATTATTAAAGATTATTATTTACTAGAGAATTGTATTTCACTGTCTTCACATTTTAAATATTTACTTATTTAAATTTCTGATAGTTGATATTATAGTAGTCTCAGACTAATTTAATATATAAGTCTTATTTCTTCTCTATTTAATCTTGAGAAGTGTAGATATTAACTTAATAGAAGAGATCTAGTAGAGTTACTATAGTATAGTACTCTGTAAAAGATTGTTCAGTTTTACTATAGTAATATATCAGTTTATTTCTTATAGTAATAATAGTCTGTGCTATAGTATTATTTCAGACTGAATTTCTTTTTAAGTAATTTAACTGCTTCTTAAAATAAGTAAATAAACTGTTATATATTTATCAGACTGACTGCAGTATTAATATATAAGTAATTAAAACTATCTTTATTATTTTATAAAACTGAAACAGTAAATTAATTATATATTTTAACTAAGTTTACTTTATATTAGAAAGTTTTAATATCTGAATCTTTTCTCAATTAGAGTATTATATTCAATAATTAATTATCTGATATAATTAAAGAGTCTGAACAGTTATTTTATATATTAAACTTTACTATATTTTAATATTTTATATTATATTCAGTGATATGACTGATTTATTTATTTATTAAATATTATGAAATTGTTATTAGTATTTAGAGAAGATATAAATTATATTAATAATATTTTAAATCTGTAATATTTAAATTATTAATCAATCTATTCAAAATTAATAGTAATATTATTAAAAAGTATTATTAAAAAATAATATTAAAAAGTATTATTAAAAAATATTATCTTTTATAAAGTGAATATAAAAGTTACTTAAGTAATTACTTTTATCTTATTCTTATTTCAAGAATCAGTCATCTTATTATTCTTTATCTTAATATTAAGATTCTTTATCAGTATTTATATTATAAGTTGAATTATATAAGTAATATAGAGAATATAATCTTATTTATTATTCTAGAAATACAAAGTTAATTTTTACTTTAAGCTCTTTATCATAGTATAGTTATTCACAGTATTATCAGTTATAATTATAAGAAGACTAAGATTAATATCTTAATAGTTATTTTTAATCATAGTTATTAATATCTCTATTATATAATTCTCAGTATAACTACTGATTAATGATTTAAATTCAATTAATATCTCTTAATAAGTTCAGTTCTTATTAATATAATAATATATAACTCTTATAAATGTAAGATTATTTATACTAGTTTATATATTCACTGTGAGAGATACTTTTTGATGATTCTTTAACTCTGATTCTAGATATTATATATTGACTTTATAGTGTATTTCAAGATTGAACTGAAGACAGAATTAATATAGAATATGAAGATTTAAATTAAGCATTTAAAGAAGTGTTCAGAATTCAGAGTTTTTAATTAATTGAAGAAAAAGATTCAGAGATATATATATATAAAGTAATTATTTACAGAAGTTATCAGATAAGAGTTATGAAATCAGAGTACTGATATATAATTGTTTTCACATAATTTTCTTTAAATTAGAAAGTGAGTGTTACTAAAAATTATTATCTAATAGAGTAATTTATCAACTCAGTAGTAATCTTCTAATTATTTTTCTTTTATTATCTACATTCTGATAACTTCAGATATTGAGAAATTTCTTTAGAGTTATAATCAGTTTATAATGAATATTTCTGAATAAAGTTACAGTAATTGTAGTAAAGAGATAACTTCTCAGTAATCTGTTATTATTATTATTATTATTCTTTAATTATAGATGTATGCAGTCAGAGACTATGACATCTATCTGAGAACTAAAAGTTCTCAGAGTTTTTCCTATATCTATACAGTTAACTATTATACATTCATCAATTTCAGATATGCAAAATCAGAAAATTCCACCTCAGAATATAAAAACTGTTTATAAATTACAGTATTTTAACATCATCTCATACTTTGAAACCATTTGACAATATCATGACAAAGGAAAAGAGAACACAGTCTTAAAGATAGACACATTAAATAGATAGACAGAAAGAAATTGAAAGGAAAAGATAAAGTAAAGAAAGACTGTAATAAAACAAATTATTAAAAGATAGTATATAGCTGTTTTAACAGACTATATCTGATTGATTTCCTCCTCTTCATATTCAGATAATTCTGAATTTAGCCATTTTCTTGTAGCTGCTTGAGTTTCTGATAGAAAGTCTATTAAATATTTAATTCCTGTCTCAGTTGAGAATAAGAATCTCATATTTAATTGATTTAGATCATACTTCTCTTTCAATCTGACTCTGAGACTATTGTATAACACACAGTGTATTATAATATGCTCAGAATTCTTCTTTGCATTGCAGAATGAGCATTCTATTGAATCAAATCTATCATCAAATCTTTGTATATAAGATTTGAAATAGCCATGTTCTAATTTCAGCTGTATTATATATGAGAATATTTTCTTTTTACATTTAATTGAACAAGATTTTCACTTGAGTTTTGTTTCAAATCTTGAATAATGTATACTCTTCTTTTATTTCTGCCAGCTTTCATTTCACTTGTCTAAACAAGATTCTTTTATTTTCCTCTTTATAAAAGATCAGAACATAATTTTTTGAACAGATCTGCTTAATTCTGAATCTTTTTTTGCAGCTGAATCAGTCAATTCATTATCATGAATATTCATATGAGCAGGAACTCAGTGCAGATGAATTATCAGCTTTAATATTCTTCTCTTTTGAATTTTTAAAATGAAGTTTATGATCAGTTCAAGATTCATTTGATCATTATAAATCTGACTATTTCTAAGTCTTTTTAAAGCAGCTTGACTATCAGAGAATATTTATATCTCTTTCAAACTATTTTCTCTTTTATAAGATTTTATTTCAATAAGTTTGAAAGCTTTCACTATTGCAAATAATTCAGCATCAAAGACTTCAGATTCACAGCCTAAATTTCAGAAATCTGAGATAAAATTAATATTATCTTCAGTATAAGCAATGCCTGCATCTAATCTATTTAAATTCTCATTTTTTGAGTCATCTGAATAAATCAGAATAGAGTCTTTTATATTGATTGTAGAAATTCTCTTTAAATGCTGTTCATATTCTTTCTCTTTAGATAGTTCACTTATTTGCAAGTCTATAAGAGATTCAAGCTTTTCTCTTCAGAAAGATAACTTCTCATAATCAACTTTTTCAACATTTAAAGAAGAAAACTGATTTTTAATCAATGAGTATAGTTTGTACAGTTGAGAAGGCATTTTC